AGAAATGAAAATATATTATAATAGATAGAAATTTTCAAAATTTTAATTCATACTATTATTATGTTTAATAATAATCAATTTACTAAAATATTAAATGAATATTGTAATATGACATTATACAATAATATTTTTAATTAAAACTTAAAATATATATTTAATTTGAAAATCTTATTTTATATATATATATATAATTTTCAAAAGAATTATTCATAAAAAGAAAATGAAAAAATATTAGAATACAAATTATGGCAATAATTTGTAATTAATTTTTAAAATAAAATTCAAAATAGAAATCAATTTCTAGATTAAAATCCATAATAGAAATCATAACAACTAATCAATTTCCGCAGCAATGCTATTGTAATACTCACATAAATGATCTACGATAGCATTCATTAAAAGAAAATCGTATTTATTTATGTCGCGATTATTCATTTCTTCATTATTGAATTAATTATGATAAAAGTAGTAGTGTCTAACATTTTGTTCTTTCTTCACACTACTAGTTTATTTGTAAACTAACACATATTTTCTTCTCGTAAATCATAAAGAAAGAAACAAGCTTCAGTATAAAGATAGAGATAGCATAATTTTTCATTTCGACTTTACAGGAAAACTATATATAAATATTATTATATATAAGCTTTCAATTATTTTCCTAACAATTAAATAAAATAAAAAATATTGCACATCTATTCATTATCAATAAAAATGTTATTCGCAGGAAATATATTTTCGCGGAAATATATATTAAAATATATATTTCATATTTCACTTTATGATTTGAAAAATGATATTAATATAGCAAAATAACGATGTTAATAAACCGCGAATATTTTATAGTTGGATAGTAGATTTATACTTGGTTTTGTCGTTCTGTTTATTCTGTTTCTTGGATTATTTCTCTGCCAGTCTTTCTTGATATATCGGGAAAATGTTTATATTCTTTGCAAAGCGCATTTTACGTTTTGTGTTTGATTGTATTCTCTTGTATTATATTCTATGTGACATTTTATTCTATATGATTAATTATAATTTTTAATTTTATTTTGTATACAAAAATTTGTCTTAATAAAATTTTTTATAATTATACGAAATATATTATATATTTTAATTTATAATAATTAATATATTATCTATTATTCATTTGTTAGAAAATAAAATAAAGGTTAAATTAAAAAAAAATGAAAAATATATATATATAAATATTACAAAAATATAAATGAGAAATATATATACTTTTATATCATAAAAAATTTTTATAACAAGAATCACTTTATTAATCAATTATTTTGTAAGTTCCATATATACATATATTTATTCAAAAATAAAATTTAATTATTATTAGCTAGCATCGTGGATTATTTATTTTGTACTTTTTAAAAAATCATTGATTTTTCGATAAAAAAAAATGTATTCAAAGATTATATTTAATTTTTTTTTTTTTCGTATTCTCGAAATAATATATAGATACAGATTTGTCATTCAGTGGAATTCATACATAAATATATATATTCAGCATCGAAATAATTTTTCTTTTCTTTTTAGTTTTTTTTTTTCAGTTTTTTCATTTCGACTTTACACATTTCTAATAAATACCCACAAATATATTATTTTTTTCTATCTCATTTTATTCTCATTTTGTATTTCATATTGATTGATCTTCGTGTACACTTTAGTATAATTAAATAATAATATTGTCAATATTTTTTTCTATCTCATTTTATTTTCATTTTGTATTTCATATTGATTGATCTTCGTGTATATTTAAGTGTATTATTAAACAATAATATTGTTAATATGCAAATTTCACTTGTAATAAAAATCATTCATTTAAAAATTCCATTATTAATAATCATTTATGAACGCTTTCTTTTGATTTTTGTATATTTTTTTATCAAATATTTTGAAAATTAATATTATATTTTAGAAATTTTTATAATTTTGAGATTGTAAAATTTTTAGAATTTTTTAATAAAAAATTTTTTTGAGGGGTTTTTTTATTTATAATAGACATTAAGAAAATAATCTAATCAATGGATAATTAGAATATATCATTTAAAATTTTTCGTTGACATAATTTTTCTATTTATAAAAAATAAATATATGAAGAAAAAAATGAATAAAAAATCATGAAAGGATGCAAAACAAGAAACAAATAAAATGAAAAAAAATATGAAAAATGAAAACATTTTTATTTAAGATATAGATATCATGTAGTCATAAAATTAAAATATCGCTGTAGTTGTATTAGTACCATTAAAAATATTAGTTACCTATTATATAGATATTAATACATAATATATTATTTATGCATATAATAATTGTATATACTACAATTATTTATTATATTCATTTTTTAATTATATTTATTTTTCTTTATATTCATAAAAAGTTTTATTTTTTACTTTCTAAAAGAGTGTATTTTATCTCTTTCATAAATTGATTGCATAACGAAATAATATTCATATTAATTTTTTAATTTAATTTTTCTGAATAATAAAATCATAATATTATTATGTTTTTCTTATATAAATATGTATTTTTCATAATATGTAATTTATATTAAGCTTAAAATATATTAAAAAACAAAAAATAATTCCTAAATTTAAAAACAAAGATAATTATTTTATTAAAAAATAAAATATAATTTTAAAACAACATTAATTAAAATATTTCAATTAACAACAAAATTAAAAAATCTACAATTAAAATTGAGCAATCAAATATTTTAATAATATTTTAGATTATTTTACAGATTAAAAAGAAATATTCTTATTCG